CATGGCCAGAAATTTGGGACAGTATGGCTGCTAACTATGCGCACAACTGAACAATTTTGCGAATTCAAGATGGCGGAAATGCTAAGAATTAATACTATAATCATACAAATGCGATGCGCGTGCTGAAACAAAACATAATTTTCAAAGTGTTTACGTCTAGAAATGTACAAAATACCTCGATGAGTATTCCCCGAATCTCTTGACGTGTCACGATTTGCCATTATTCCGCCCGAGTAACTCAATTTTACAGTATAATCTCGCAATGTAAACTCTTATTAAGTACAGTAAAATCCCCATTGTTTACCAAGTTGAGGCCAGTGTAGTGTTGCTCCAAGCGTTCGAAGACGAATTGTTTACGTCTACATTTCTTGTACGACAGTTGATCTCTCCTTTTGTATTGATTTAGATTCATCATGGCTTGTACGCGCTCCGACAAACGCATTTAAAATAGCGTGTATTTCATGAGATATGTAAGCTAATACCAAGTGTTTTGGACAAAGCACTGCGAAATGCCAAAACTATGAACGTTTTAAAAGCGTCGTCGTGGGTTCTTGTCAACCATTTTGAAAACATTTGTACGTACAGCCGCTGATTGTTGTTTATAAAGGACAGGGGGCTCCAAAATAGGGAAAAAATTGCGCCAAAATCAAATTTAAATCCAGTGAAATTCAATATATTTTGATGTACTTTTGTAGTTTTGGACTTAGAAACTATTGTGTTCAATCAATTAAAAGATTGTAAATAAGGAAATAGTTGCCACAGTCTTTAACTGATATAAATTAGCTCCGAAGTTCGCTTGAGATGCCTTTAATGTCTGGCTGTATTATGCTGACGTTGCAGAATTTAGCGAATTTCTGCGCCCGCAGTATATTTCGCCGAGTGTCCCTCATTTCTGGCCATGTAAACAATCATGGAAATGGAGGAAATACCATCTGAGACAACAGATTACAGATATAAACATTCTTACTATCAGTGCATACAAGGGCGGCAATTAGCCCCTCCCCCAAATAATTCGGTGATGGTGATTGAATAACTATATGTGTAACAAAGCTGTAAAAATAGTTTTTTCTATTTTTACATCTGATTCAAAGCTATAAATTAGTATCGTAGGCTATATATATATACATTAAGCAACTTTGCAAGAAATGTATGTAAGTTTAACTCATTGGGTTGCAGTGTGCTCTAGTGAGGCCTAAAGGGCCATACTTTATTACTGTTATTTGCAATCTACCATTAGGCGTACGATTTTTTTCATGTTTGTTTACGTTTAAACGTTCAGGTTTTGACCGGGAAACGTTAACGCTTTGAGCAAAGCCAATAAACGTTTGCCACGATCTTAGCAAAGTCTGATTGAACACGCCGCCAAACGTTGATTGGCTTGCTCAAAACGTTAACGTTTTCCGGTCAAAACCTGAACGTTTAAAACGTAAACAAACATGAAAAAAATCGTACGCCTAATGGTAGATTGCAAACAGCAGTATTTTACTCTGTCTAGCACCAGATGATTCTACTTGTCAAGGGGAGAGTGCTGCTCTCAATAGGTTAAAGAATTAAGATTTCTGGCAACTGGGTGGTAATTTGGGTAGTCACAACAGGTGGGCAATTTGTCTGAGCATGGGCGAAGAAAATCAATATGGCGACATATATTTAGGAGTGTTTCGTGGATTTATCTGGTTTTAAAGCTGATAAAACAACATTTTAATGAACGAAAACTTTGTAATATTTAGTGGAAAACATTAAGCTGTACAGTCCAAAGATTTTAAATTAAAAATAAGTACTTTTGCTTTATTTTATTGCTTTTTATACTTTGAAAACAGGCAAGCTCATTTTTTGGAAAAATTCTAATCTAATATTTTACCCATCAGTTGTCTAATCTGAACAGAAATAGATAGAATACTTGGCTATATAAGTTATAAAAGTATTGTTAGCTGATCTGAAAGATTTCAGTATGTATACATTTCAACAAAGAATGAAATGTAATTTTAAAAATTAAATATGCATATCAAAAACAATAGTTTTTATTAGAACGACATAGAATAAGTTGTTATTTTCTATTTTTACAAAAACAAGTTTGGAAACAGGATCTAGTTCTCCAGCTTGATGTCATATTCCATTAATTTGGATATTTGAATAAAGGAATGTGAAATAATAATTGAAACTTGACCAAAATTTGATACCGACACTCAATGAACAGATATTATCACCTAAAAATAAAAGAAAACAGAACCTAAATTTATCATCTAATGCCATGAATAAATCTTAGATACTACAGGCATATAGTGAGCACAACACTTTAACAAACTCACTAAAATAAGTTAAGTTATGCTATGATAAGAGGATGGCAATATATGACAACATCAAATGTCACCAGACTTCAATTAACCTGAAGTTCAGGCCCTAATCACAGAATAGGGCCTGACACAAAACCTATCTAAACTGTGCGATTCCCTTAAAATCTGATTGGTTGATCAGCATCATGAAGGATTTTGATTGGTTGCAAGTTCACATAAACAGCAGTTTTAAAAATAGCTCGGTCAAGGGCTCAAGGCGACAATTAATATATAAAGGTCAAACGCACAAATAAATAACAATTTCCATTATCGATTTCTTCGAATTTCTTTTCTTTTATGCTTTATGGCAGAAAATAAATCAAACAAACAGTATTTTGAAAGGGCTTTACCAGAATCTTTGACGAATTTTGAACACACGACGCTGAAAGAACAGCCAAACTAGTCATGTATTCGAAAGCTTGTTGTTGATAGCCAAGATGTTCTGCCAACTGCATGGCTTCGCCGGCAAAAGTCTTATTTTAATATCAGGTCCTACCGGCGTTGTTTTCTGAGCTACATCGCCTTCTTCGTGGTACGATTGAGAATTTCATTGTTGCTATTTTTAGAGCGTTAGAGTATATCCGCGTCCAGCAAGTTGAGACCTTGAGAAAGCTTGGCAGTCAAGCCGTGCCCCGAGAACTGACTAATCGAATATTTGTTTGCTGTTCGGTTAAATAGAGAAACTGACTCTTAATTATATAAAAGTACCTTAATTTTTTAAGTTTAATTAAAAAGAAAAATGCACATGTACACTCTGCGGACATGTTCATGAGAATATAATTTTTTTGTGAAACGAAATCTGCAACACTTGTCAATCATATTGCAGGTCGTGTCTAAAAATAACATGTGGGCGTCCCACGGTCTGGACAGGTTTTGTGTCAGGCCCTATTTCAAATTAGGGCCTGAACTTCAGGTTAGACTTCAATAGAATAATCTATTTTCCGCAAATAGTCTCAATAATTAGTTAACTGCTCAGCAACAATGGAAAATAGTACCTAACACCCTTGAATACCTAGATAATTTTACAGTATTTAAAAATTCAAACTGCATTTGTTAAAATATTGGATATAAATGCATACCCTAAATATTAGGGTGACTAGCTCCAGAGAGGGCCTTCATATACATTCATATATTTTTATCGAAACATTTTTAACACGTAGTGATAGTTTTTGGATCAGTCCATTTGTTTCGCCAATTTGAACCTTTGTTAATAACTCTCATTTTTTAATATAACTATCTCTATTGAAACTTTTATAATACTAATTTAGATAGTTCAGTAATTGATGTATATCTTCTATATATATGTAATGCGCGTTCTAATTTAGTTACCTACTGTAGCTATTCAATGTGTAATCATTCTATAATAATAATAATAATAATAATAACTCAAAGTTACCCTGGAATTAATCACGGATTATTAAAATCATTTAACTGGAATTTATTTCATGGTGGTGCTGCTGGAAGGCATTTGACCTGGAACATTGTTATATTGATCGGTGTTAACTGGTTACAGGAAGTGATAAGTTACAGGAAGTGATATCATTGGCAATGAATATAATAGTTTGCTTCAAGTATTCTTACTGGCTATTTTGCATGAAAAACACAACCCTGATCAGTTTTTTTATGTCATTTGCACCATATTTTGCACAGAAGTAAATATCTGTGGTTTTGCTTTCAATTATTCTATCAATTTTGGAAGTACGGTATGTTGTATACATGTAAGTAGTGTACATTTGTATCTAAAATTGTAAATTATGGCTACAACTTTGCTACTCTATAACCCTCACTCAAATAGGATCAAATAAATAAGGCTAGATAAAATTGAAAGAAATGTTTTCAATTTATTTTAAAACTCACATGATTATGCTGTTCTCACGCTATAATTTATAAGGCCGATTTTTTACGGTTTTTTTGCTGAAAATCCAGCAAATTACGTTTCGATTTTGATGTATGAACTTGATAGAAATGCTTCCTCAGAACGCAGGAAATCGCATTTCCGAGGTCCCCCCCCCCTACAAATGCGAGGTTTAGTGAATCAGTCAACCAAACCACTTGATCCGCCCCTGAACAAACCTGAAAATTTTAAAACGGCGTATAGCCGTTTTGTGGAAGTTTACTGGTAAAGATATAAGCGAAATTAAAGTAACTTCAGTACCAAAACACAAAAAAACTTGTGCAAAAGTACTAAAACAATTATTCGCCTCAGGCTCGGTGATTATTGGGGATTAGTATAAGTTTTGCATATCAAATGAGCTTTCGCGCGTTCTGATTGGTTATTTGACTAGTAAATCTGAGGCATTATTTACATATTCACGGACAATTTAAAACATATTTAAAACTCCGAAACTTTCACTTCAAACAAATAGCAAAAACCATCCCGACTGTTGGGAACCTAAACCCATTTTGGTTTGTATCCTATAGATTTTGAATTTGTAGGATACTATTTCTCTTGATATGTCATGCTTTCATTATGCTGTATGGTGTTCTGACCGCTGTATTGTGTTTTTGAAACTTGTAAAGTGAAAATTGTTATTAAAACCATAGGCAACCCACTATACGACTGAATTTAAATTAAGACTGTAGCGAAATTATAGAATTTAACGAAAATAATCACAAATTAACGAAATATATTGCGAAATGTAGATTATTTTCGTGATTGTGATTATTTTCGTTAAATTTTATAATTTCACTGCAGTTTTAATTTAAATTCAGTCGTTTAGTGGGCTGCCCATGTTTAATAAAACTTTAATTCGAACGATATAGTTTTACATTTCATTTTACCAAGTTTCTCAGCCATTTCCTGAAAAATTAATGCTAAACAGAAACTATTTTTTGAATTCTAAGTCTGGTGAAAAAGTCATTCCGTTATTGTGTTTATATTCTAAGCAGAAATCGAGAAAAACAACTTTGTAATAAAACAATAAAGACACACAAGAAGCCATTTTGAAAGCTTGCATGCACAAGAAACACTGCAACGCTATTAGTGACAGTAACCGTGCATGCACAGGCCGAAAACAGTTTTATTTTTTTTCTTTTAATCCAACTGATACTTGGATATTTTGTTTCATCCATTAAAATTTATACTAAAACAATTGTTCGCCTCAGGCTCAGTGATTGCGGTGAATATTCACTTCGACTTCGTCTCGGTGAATATTCACCGATAATCATTGAGCCTGAGGCGAATAATTGTTAAATATTCACCTCGACTTCGTCTCGGCGAATATTCCCCGATAATCACCTCGCCTTCGGCGAATAATTGTTAAATATAAAGCTGCGTATTAGATATACTTACAATTCCCTCGACTCTCGGTCTCAAAAGCAAAGACAATTAAGTAGCTACTAAATGAGTATTAAATTTATTATTATTTATTTATTTACTAATTCGCCCAAATTACATCATATAAATAAAAAATAGAAATGTATATTAGCTGCGCGTGTCATAAACAGTATACGGAAAGCAGCCTAATTAACTCTCGCACTTCACCTAATTTCCTCTTGTTGCTTGAAGAACTTCATATTAAATATCATTCACCTAGTTTAAATTCTGGTCTTAAAGCAAGGAAAGAACTCGAGC